CATACAACAGCCCACTAGGACCTAGAGACTCCGGGATGGTGTCCCGGTGGAAGCCGGCGTTGCCGCGTTGGCTCCTGCCACAGAGTTCAGGCCGAGACCTTTTCCTCGACTCCCCCGATCTGGACCCTAAGCCGTATGCTTCGAGGTCCCAAGTCTTGAAGCCGAAATCTCTCAACATGGCCTCTGCCTGAAGACCTGCAAAACCTACATTGCCAAAACATCCCCCAAACAACAACTTCCCAAAAGGCAAACATCGCAAACTTTATACTCTTGGCCTCACGAGCTGCTCCAATAGCTACAGTACAAGTTCCATGCGACCGGGAGGGCCTCAATAAAGATACGTTCGCTCAAGACCAAGCCAAGGCCCAATAAGACCTCAACAACTGCAATTGCACCGCCAGCCCTAATTAACTCCTCTATTGCTAACCCCTCAACTCTAAACCCTTAACCACAACTTATACATACTACAGTGGGCTTAAACATCTAAACAAACACAGCCATCTTGCCTGCTTCCTGGCCGTTTGCCTGCTTGAAAAAGCGGGTACCTGGCAGAAGCATGCAGCCTTCCGAGGGACCCCAAACAGTATGGTAGAACACTTGGGCTTTGAGCGCATACGATAGGGGCCTTAATAGTTCCAGTAGGGTCTTCTGGTGCACTACAAGGGGATCGTATTTCTAGTTCTTTCGGCTTCGATACTATTCCGTCCATGCAGAAGTACGCTCCCATCACCAAGATTCCATACTCCTTGCCATAACATGCTTCCTCTACTCGTTAAAATATCATATGCGCAACCTCCCAATAAAGCCCTCAACCCAGACCTAAAGAAGTCCAAGTCATATAGGGCCTTTGATAATTCGACTGAGGTTTTGAGGGTTATGTTTTATCCTGTACCTATATAACAAGGAATCCCAAAATAGTATCAGTAATGATTAAGGCCCCATCAAGTCTATTAGACTCCGGAACCCTAAACCCTAAATCCCTGAACCCCTAAAGAAGTCCAAGTACTAGAGGGGCCTTGATAATTAGAATAGGGTCTTGGGGCCCATTACACCATATCTATAATAAGGAACCTCCAAAATAACAATATAGTATATATTATATATTATTATTGTTATTATTATTGTTAGTCATATTATTACTAGTATTATTATGATTATGATTATTTCGGCCCCTACATTAGACTCGGAGCCCCAGTCTCCATCCTTCGAAGGCTCGGCGGATGGCGGAGGTTGGGCCCAGCACTGCCTGGTCGGATCCGGGTTCGCGGGAGGTTTAGGCAAGTTTAGGGTTTCAGCACTCACTCTAATTTAGGGTGTATGGGTTTAATAAAGGGAGTTTGGGTTTTTGTTTATGAGCCTTCGGGGCATTCT